AAAGTAAAGTCTCTTTACTTTATTCTTGAATTTCCCTCTGGATTAATAAAGTATCTATCTAAAGTTTTTTTGTTGTTTGTTCTTCTGTCACTCGACAGCAGAATTCCTTTTTACCTGCGTGTACAGGGCGATACTTATTTATGTAACATGAATGGGTGTGGCCTTTGATCTCAGTAGGCAATAATCCAATAGTTACAATCCACGAGTAGGTGTGCATCTGTGAGAATCAAGAATTGTGTATCCAACCGGTTTTAGGCTTCAGTATGTCTGCGTCATCCAAGGTTACAACTATTTATTATTTAATAACGTCTCTGGGTCATCACTCCAGGTGATATCGGGGCCTGATGGCTCTCCTCATAGACACACATCATTTTAAAATAAGATGATCATCTAGTTTCTAAAGTCAAGGTTCAGTTACAGCTCTGTACTGTGAGATATAAAGCAGTGGACTGACATTGACTATTAATTTAATGTTGATAGCTAGACATATTGATCACATCTCTCAGTAAATAAAGTACAAGTACAGTAATATTAATTTATTTATTTAAAGCTGCAGCCTGTAGATTTAAATTTACATTTACATTTAACAAGCAACTTTATGTAAGTTCTTGTTCATTTGAAACATCACTTTTATTCATTTAAAACTATTGCTTGAGCATCTGTTGCAGGATTTTCAATAAATATTTTTAAATTTGTTTATTTTCAGAAATTTGTGAAACAATGAGGTCTCAAAAAGATCACATATGTTACGATCCAGCTCGTTTTGGAGAGCAGTAACACATAATTGGGATTGGAAATGAGGTGGAATGTGACCACTGGACAGGTTCTGGTTAAAATCAGGTGTTTAATTAACCAAGGAGAGTGCGCTTGCACAAGGAAATATAACAGAAAGAGGCTAAGAGGCTATGCTGATAAATAACCAATACACAAAATTAAGCTGAATAAATGACAGTCTCAAAAACTGGCTCAAAAATACACTAAAGAACAAAAAGAGGTCAGCACACATAAGCTCACAAAATACAATGGACAAAAACAAACTAGCAGTTATTCTGCAACTTAGAGGTCTCAAACAAAAGAGTGTCCAACTCTTGCTACTCTGAATCAAACTAAATAAATTACAAAGATTCCAAAAGCACTGACTGAAACCACTCAGACAGGCAACAGCCAGGCAGTACTAAAGAATGTAAACACTCTTAATTCTTTCTAGGCTAACATAATGGTATACAACCAACAGCGGGGCAAAGTGATCACTGGTTCACAGCCACCCTGAACTGTAGGCACACAAACTATTTAAAATGCAGCTGGAGTTGATTGAAGACTCCCGGTTGGTAGGTTCGGTCGAATCACAGCCACACCAATCACAGATGCCAGTGAACAGCAACCAGAAAGTAGGCGGTCTCAGCTCCAGAAAGACCAATCCTCAACAGGGGATCACACAGCTGGATTTGCATAGTTTGCATAGTTCTTTGTGATTGTTGCGGGCGAAATTCCTTAAATATGCAGCATTTTTTCTTAGAAAATGCGATGGAATATGCAGGATATTTATGCAATTTTATGCGATGAAATTGTGGGAACTTGCAAAAACTGCTATTGATGAAAAAGAGATAAAAAAGTGATTCCCCCAACGTCCTGTTCTCACTAGGCTACTACCTTAATGTGAAGAGTCATTTCTTATTACTTCCAATGATAAGCAAGCATACTACATCACCGAAAGAGCTGGGAATATTTAATATTATGGCTCAAACTTACAAAACATTGATGAGACAAACAAGTTCTGTAGCTTTACAAAAGGAATATGCTACAACTTCTGTAAAAATGAATAAATAAAATATAAAAAAATAAAATGTGTGCTTCCTGCTTTACAGAGGTAGCTATACAAAACAGACAACTTCTGTTAAAATAACTGTAAGGTTTTTGAAACGAGTATGATTTAACCCACTGGTAACAAAAAGTGCAATCTTACAACTGTAAAGTTGTAACTCCTGAATGAAACTACAACAGTCCACTGTGAAAATGAAAGCTATAACTGCGTAGCCTCTAACACTGGCCAATCATTCGCCATCCTCATCCTCCATCCCCTCTCCTTCATCGTCCATCCATCGCAGGGTTTGCAGCTTTTCGATGATGTTCACGTCGCGTAATTATGTCACTTCATAATGTTCCCATGGCAACAGGGGAAAATGGCTGCTCTTGTGTGAAGTAAATGCAACATTTTTCAACTTTCTGCTCTGCTAAGATATATGTGACTTTTTTGCAACGAAAATGCGGGGATTATGAAATCATGCAAGCCCACCGCATATTTTTTGCAGAAATCGGCAATTTTTGGCAAATTTATTACGTAATCGCACCGGAAACTAAAGCTGCACTCTGATTGGTCAGCGTTGCTAAGATACAATCAAAATAAGTTACATAGTTAAATTAATTCAATAATTTCTTCATTTTCAATCTTTACTTTCACAAATCTGCTTCAGTTTTAGCTCGATAAAATATTATTTAATTATGGGACGTTCCTGATCAGAAAGGTTTGTACATATTAATTACATTAGGAAATAGCAAAAGCAATTAAAATGAATGAAAGCGACACTGTAGGTCGATAAGGGACAGTGAATCAACATAAAACCAGACAGAATCTGCCATTTAACCCTTTCATATATTCATTATTACTATAAAGTTTGAATTTCATTCCTAAAGCCTTAAATATATATAGCTATATATTTATATAAAATATAAATACACTAACTGTTACTCACATTATCTGAACTAAATATTGTTTTTGTTACAAAAACTGCAGGTTACCTCCAACATGAATCAAATTACTGCCATAAAAAACACTGCAGATGAAACCTTTCATATAGAACAGCAGACATTTTAGTTTAAATATATCCAGGGATGCATGAAGTCAATTTTTAATAATTGATTCATTCTAACACTTCAGTCTTTACATCGAGGTCGTACACTATTACTCCAGCAGGTGGTGCTCTAGTGCTGCTGTGGATCCATTAGAGAGACTGTAGCTACAGGCTCTGAACATGTACAGCTCAGAAATAAACAAGCTCTGACATGATCAAGATAACTTTCATCATCTCTCTGTCAATCCACAGTTTATATATTGGCCACACAGTGCTCCCTAGCCTGTGTAACCCTTGCTGCTGGTCCAGATTCCCCCTAGGTCTGGTGCCGGTAACACTGGCCAGTGGGTGGCAGCGTATGGGATGATGATAACTGACAACTATACGGCCAAACCCCTCGTATGTACAAGCAAACAGCTTTTGAATAGCTGTCCACTGGAGCGAGCTGTACGTGTGAAAGGAGAATCATTTTTGTTTAGTTAAAAATGAATAAAGTAAGATCTACAGAGGAAATGGACTGCAGGTGTTATTACAAAGGAAGAACTAGGGACCTACAGCTGTATGCAAAGGTTTGGGCACTCCTTGATAAATAACTGATTTATGTGATTATTTTAATTGAAAAGATGTAAACAACCTCTCTGGATATGGAACATATAATACATTTTACTAGCAGCTAAAAGTCGTCAGTTCTTATATTTGGGATTTTTTCACATTAGTTGCAAATCTTTTAAGATCTACCATCAGATTTTTAAATGATAAAGTTTAAAGGATTGTGAGGGCCGTTCCATAGTTTGCAATGTTATCTTCCTCCTCCATTGATGCCTTTAAAACCCGTCTAAAGACCTTTTTTCTTAAACATCTTAATGAAGACATGCATCACCACAATCTGGTTTTAATCTTTTATTATTCAATTTTATTGTCTGTCTGTGCTGTTTGTGTGATGATTGTATTAATATAGTCAGTACATGACCTTATAATGCAGTACATTACACATTATGACTTTATATTATTATTGTCAGTTTGTCTAAAGAGCTGTGATAAAGGAAATAAAGAAGTGGAGCAGCTGATTGAAGTTGTGATTCTATTAATTACTGTGCCCGATGGTGATTTTGGGCCGGGCCTTTTGTTTTATTTTTTTTTTTACTAATGGTACAAGTATTAGTAATGGTATTAGTCATGATACCTATTGGTACACAAAACTGGTAGATCGGCCCATTAGTCATAATTGATTCTGGGCTGGACCAATTATATCATACAGAGAGAGAGGAGATCATGAAAATGGAGAACAAAAATTCGAAAAAATTAGAGCTAAAAGAGACAAGCCCTTCAGGCAGATTCTGCCAAATGTGTTAAAATAACACAGATGTTTGCTGGTGGCTATGACGGAGCTTCATCTTCAACAGCAGCAGCATCCGAAGCAGCCGCAGGTAATGATGGCGGAGGTGGCCGTTAGGTGGATGAGGGGAGGGGGAGGCAGGAGGAGGAGAGACCCGCGGCCTCCGCCGGTGCAAGTGGAGGGGAATCTGATATAATTTAGATTGAATCAAATTAGGATTTGCCAGGAGATGTGATGCTGCTCATTAACATAAAAGTGGCATGGAGTTAAAAGTAACTACTTAAATGTATTTGTCTTTTATACATGAATATCCTCTTTATTCTAGATAAGCTGTGTTTTTATCTCCTTCTCTCCTTTCGCTAACATTTAACAGCAAACTCTGGACATTGATGACTGTATTTTTTTCTGTTCCTGGTGTCCGGTTAGCTCAGTCGGTAGAGCTGGCCACCCGTATATGCAGCAGCCCAGGTTCAAATCTGACCTGCGGCCCTTTGCTGCATGTCATCCCCTCTCTCTGCCCCCTTTCTTCTCTCTCTCTAGCCATCTCTGACTGGGAGGATGGTGTAGGTTTAAGTTTATTAGACAAGTACATATACACCAACAAGACAGTGTACAAGCATTGTCACAAGAAAGTTTGTTTCATTCATAGGCTTCATTGTCTTTCCATCAATACCTGGTGGGCCGGTCTCGGCTCAAAATGCCTGGGCCGATTTTTTGTCCCAGTCCAGCCCTGGTGATGATTATATTAATATAGTCAGTACATGACTAAAGATTGCTCGAGCAGTGAAGGCAGGAAGGAAGGGACCTTGAAACTGTTCAGTTAGTCCAAATTTCTTTATTTCCCTTTTTCCCCCCAAGCAGTGGATCAGTGCAGCTTGTTTACAGTGAGGATCAGCTCGGCCCAAACCGAAGAAAACAACAAAATAAAAATGAAAAACAAATAAACACAACTTAGGAAAAAGGTAACTAGAGGTATCAAAAATAACCTCAACTCTGCTCCGGGCCCTTTTAAGCTTGGGGCCCCTGGCAGCTAACAAACTGTGTGTCCCGCTCACCAACATCCTCAAACGTATTCTCCCCTGGAGAACCCTCAATTCCTGCTTATATGTGCGGTAGCTCCTCCCACCACAGGAAGCAACAATTAATAAAACAATTAACCTTTAGCATTAATTTAGAGTTACCCAATAGTTAAGTTTTATAGGTATAACTACATATATATATATACCAAGAACTCACTACACATATTTAAAGAGTAAAATAGATCCCAACTATCCAAAACAACAAATCTCCCAAACGCCTCCTAAATCTCCCCCTCATCTATACTACACTTGCGCTTTGAAGACGAGAACAAGTCCGGTCCATTAACCATCAGCAAACACCTCCCTCACCTACTTCACCTAATTTCTGGTTTTCCCGACGTATTTCAATAAATCAACCGCGTTGTGCTTCTTGATGACAGAGACAAGTGGAATTGAACCTTTTTAAACAAACTGCAGTTAATGTAACATATTCTATATCTTTTTAAACCAGGTTTTCTGTTCTTCCCTCCTTTTGAATTGTTTTGCCTGTTCATCTTGATCCTTTTCTTTCTTAGTTTCCTCCCTCTGGCCTTGCATTGAAATATACGGTGTAATGATCTGATATTCCGTCGTTCCTGACAATGAGATCAGAGATTTCAACGTTTTTGGTGATGACCAGATCCAGAGTGTTACCTTTATCGTGTGTTGGCTCCCATACGTGCTGCTCGAGGTTGTAGATCTGCAAAATACGATCAAACTCATCAGTGAAAGACCTCTTTTTCTGATCGACCCAGATATTGAAATCTCCGGTCACAACGATGCTGTTGTAGTTGTCGAAAATTGCCAAGAGATCTTGAAACTCATCCAGGAAGGTTTTAAATTTGGGCTTGTCGTACCGCGGTCGGAAATAAACATTGATGAATAGAACTGGTTGTTTCCACTCATCATGTTTCAGAACTGTGACAACACATTCAAAGGCTGTTAAGGACTCAGAAGGAATCCTTTCACCGTGCAGCTCCTGTGAGAACTGAATCGCTACCCCTCCACCTATCATATTAACCCTCACCTGATAAAAGTAAAGGTAATTAGGTGGCGAAGCCTCACTGAGGACTTTGTCTGCATTATTGTCTTGTAACTGCGTCTCTGTTGTGAGGAAGACGTCCAGGTTGTTTTGTGTTATGAGCTCTAAGATCCTGGGTTGTTTGTTATTCATTGAACGAACATTAAGTAACCCCACTCTTATTGTTCCAGGAGGTCTTTCAATGTCCTCACCTTGTAGTTTAGATATGGTGTGGGTGATGGATTCTAATTGGTCCTCACACTGCTCATCATTTTCACCCCCCTCATAGTTCTGATACCTGTGCTTATCGTCACTATCGGTCTCCGTATCTCCCTGATCACCCCCTCCCTGCTGATCACTTCCTGTTCCACCTTCTTGTTCATCCTTGTGTCTTTGATCTGTTTGAGATTCAGCAGAAGTCTGCTGGTTTCCACTCTGGTCCTGAGCTGGATTTGAACTCATTTCCTCGTGTTCTCGTTGAGTTGGATCCTCTTCAATTATCTTCCTGTGAATAATACAAGTGAAAATACAGCATCAATACCCAAAGATCAAGGGTGGCCGAAAAACTAATTCTACTTTCTTAATTTAATTAATTCATTTATTTCTATGACACCTGACGTCTGACTCTTACCCTAACCGACAGTCAGAGTTGGTCATCTCTGTGTTTGTTATGGTGTTCTTAGTGGGGCTGTAATATTTAAATGAATGTGTTGTGCTCTAATGTCTGTTTTATGAGAATCACAGAATCATATCATACCTGATGTTGTCAAAATGTTCTCTCAGCTTCCGGCAGGTCTTCAGAATGGCATCAGCTGTATTTCTCAGTGATTGGCTGGCTTCAGTCACATGAATCCTGTCAATCAGGTCTGTCCAGTTGTCGATCTCCTCAGGAAGTTCAAACAGCAGTCCAACAGCTCCTCCTACAACCTGATGATGAATATGAACAATACATGATTCATTTTCAGTAATATCCAACCAGAGACCAGAAAACTGATTAAGTCTGAAAGAAGTCAGTCAGAGGACACTTTGAATTATTTGGTGCAACTAAAAACATCTCCATGACACCTGAGTAAACTCATGTCTAAAAAAATCATGTCTATTTTTATAATTTTCTTCTTTTTTAGATTTCATTGCAAAAAATAATGGATAAATATGGAGGACTGAAAGCGCCACAATTAAATAAATAAATACACCATTAAAAATGACTTAAATGTGTCATTAATTAATTAAAATTGGAATTAAATACATAAATGTGTTATTAAATATGTCATTAATTATTTCAAATACCGATCAATTTTATGTAAAATACATATATAATTATTTCACTATATACATTTACATTTCATGGTCCTGCGTTGCAGTGCTTCATGAATTATTTAAAACAAGACAAATCAATTCCAGATAATGGATTGATGCAGAGCTAGTGAACACATTCCAATACACTGGGTGGCGCTATTGGACTACTTCTTCTAAATCTGCAGTCACTCTGTGGTCAATATCTCGGTCAGAAAGTGCGGAAATAACTCCAAGAATTTCGATAAGTTCCTCTGCTTTACTCGCTACATGCTCTGGGTCAGCAGCTCCTGCTTCCACATCCTCTGCTAAGTCTAAAAAATAAAATAAAGTGTTTAACTTTGAAAAATAAAGTGTAGCAGCAGCTTGAGTTTCCCTTTTTCTTTGTTAACAGTTTCATATCTTGATTAACAGTCTCAACAAATTTTATAAATGAATATCAACACATCTTTACAATTGAACAGTTTCTCTTTCTTTCCCTTTTATATCTTTCTATACACTTTCTGTTGTTCAGTGAGAGAATTGAGCTCTAACCTCTCTCCCTCGTTGGGCAGTGAATGAATGGGTCAGGATCAGTGTTGGTCATCTTACTTTAAAAAAGTAATTAGTTATAGTTACAAATTACTTATCCCAAAAAGTAACTGGGTTAGTAACTAACTGTGTCTTTGAGCTCTCCTCATAGACACATCATTTTAAAATAAGATGATCATCTAGTTTCTAAAGTCAAGGTTCAGTTACAGCTCTGTACTGTGAGATATAAAGCAGTGGACTGACATTGACTATAAATTAAATATTGAATTTAAAATGTTGATAGCTAGACATATTGATCACATTTCTCAGTAAATAAGGACAAGTACAGTAATATTTATTTATTTATTTAAAGCTGCAGCCTGTAGAATTTACATTGTATAAATAAGCAAACTTTATATGTCAGTTCTTGTTCATTTGTGTTGAAAAATCACTTTTATTCATTTAAAACAATAGTTTGAGTATCTGTTGCAGGATTTTCAATAAATATCTTTCAATTTAATTACTACTTAATAACTTCAATTTATTTTCAGAAACTCGTGAACAATCGATAAATATCAATACTCACACGCTACTCATTTGGCATCGATTTCCTTAAACAAATATCGATATCAACTAACAAATCAGAATTGGGGGTACATGCATCACTTTCAACTGTTTTGGATAGCTTACTTCAATTACTATGTGCCGAGTCGCCCCCGTACCTGGCGGCATATTGAGCTGGCCCGCGTCACGTGACAAGGAAACTATTTGAACGTCAAACGTGCGACTCAGCCGGCCCGGTCTTCAGCTGTCAATATCATAAAAGCAATAAAAAGCCCCAAAAATACTTAAATTAACTTAAATAAATAAATACATGTAACAAATTTCTACTAACTCTGTTATTACTGTTCTGTTATCTGTTATGTGCTTTACAAAGTTAATGTTAAACACCTCTCTTGTTTCTGCTCTTTGTTAATTCAGTGAAAGGGTACAGTGTTACATGTTTACTTCAACATACAGGGTTTTTTTTTTTAGAAATAAGAATGGAAAGTGCAAATGTGCATGTTTTTGTTCATATTTATTTCATTCATAATTATGTTATTTATTTTACTTTTTGTTTTATTATGTATTGCACATAACACATTTGTGATACATGGCCAGTATTTGTCATGTGATTTGCCTTAAGTGTAATAATATTTTGATTGAAAAAAAATTGCCAATAAGAAATTATCAGTATCTGTATCGAGGAAATTGCGAGAAAAAGACTTGGCATTGTGTCAAATCCTAAAAGTGTGGTATCGCCCATCCCTACCAACCGCGTCATAATGCCAACCAATCAGAGCAGACTTGGCTTTTCGTGAGGGGGGCCTTAAAGAGACAGGACCTAAAACCGAGCGTTTCAGACGCAGGCTGAAAAGAGCCCCTGAAGAGGCAGTATGAGAAAAATAATGTGTTTTTTGAACATTAAAACATCTAACCTGTTGTAGAAGAGCCACAAAATACAATTATGAACCTGAAAAGGGCATAATATGACTCCTTTAAATGAAAACTGCTCTGAGAAGATTTAAGGCTGCAACCATCCCAAGACATACTTAGATTATCGCCCTGCTGGCACAGCTTCAACCACTGTACAACTACTCACATTTACATGATGTCCAAACAATAAAAATCTGCTCAGATGTCTTTCTGCTGATATCAATGCAGACCACATGTACCAAGGTGTGAGACCAAACACACAAATTATAGGAAAACATGATGATGATCATATTGTGAGTATTATTCAGTGCCCTGTAAAATCCCGGTCAAATATCAGGGTTTTTAGGAGTCCCGATTTTGAAGTCTGAACTGTGTTTTTTTATTCATGGCGACTCCATGTCTGGATTTATTTGCACATTTGCATATCATACTGCCTTAACCTCGGCGTAAACAGGAAGAGCTACAGAATAAAGCTGTGTCATTATACTGAAGATATCATCAATATGTTTTTGTGATCAGTTTATTGAGATTTAAACACACTGATATAGAAATGGAGTTTGTTGAAGCACAGAAAGTAAATGAATATCGGCTCAAGAGTCCATTAACAGAAATTAAATCCACGAGCAGACAGGAAACGATACATACGAGTCTTTGTTTCTCAATATGTTAAACACAACAAAGATCTTCACAACCAAAGAGCAGAGTCACAATCCGTACACTTCTCAGGTGGGTTAAATACACAAAGTGTTTTACTTTAATTATTACTTACTACATGAGGAAAGGCAAAGACAGAAATAGTTTCTTACCTCTTTCTGAAAGTTCAGTTAGAATAAAGTTGAATAAAGTTTATGAATAAAGTAAAGTCTTTTCGTCGTTTGTTCCTCTGTCTGCCGGCAGCACAATTTCTTTTTATCTGCGTGTACAGGATCTTTTGCATGTAATTTGAATGGGTGTGGTCTGCCAGGAGGCTGCGGTCCATCAGGACCAAAACCTCACGCCACAAGAACAGTTTCTTTCCGTCTGCAGCTGGTCTCATTAACAAGTACCCCACTGACACTGACTCTTATATATTCATTACACATTGTAAATATCTTTCCTGTACAGTTTGGATCTTTCTATCTTTATCCTTATCTTTATTTATATTTTAAAAAGTACTTTATTTTTTCAAATAGAGCAGGTCAAGACCGAACTCCTTATAACATTATTTACAGAGACCCAACAGTTCCCACAATGAGCAAGACCTTGGGGACGGCGGCAAGGAAAAACGTCCTTTTAAGAGGCAGAAACCTCAGACAGACCCCGACTCTAGGGGGGTGGGAGAGAGAGAGAGAGAGTGAGAGACAAAGGTGCACAGCAACAACAGTAGCAATATCTACACTAATAGTAGTGACTGATGATGATGAACTTGAAGAAGATGACGACGACGACAACAACAATGATGGGGGACAATGAGCAGTGATAATAGTAATAATAGTATTAATAATATTAGTAATAATAATAATAATAACAATAACAATAATATCAGTGATATTAGCAATGGCAGTCAAGCAGGACCATGGCAGGAGGCTCCACCAGGATCGATAAGAACCTGCAAGACGAGAAAGCACAAGAGCTCCGGGGAAGAAGTGAAGTTAGTAACATGCATTAATGGGACATGAATGAGTGTGAGGAGAGAGAGAGAGGAAGAGAGGAGCTCAGTGCATCATGGGAAAACCCCCGATAGTCTAGGCCTAGAGCAGCATAACTAAGGGATGGTTCAGGACTCACCTGAGCAGCTCATCCAGGATTTTATGTCCTTAAGACATGTTTCTCCATGGCAATGAAAGTTAATGGAGTGATTCCTAATAATGTTGCCTAAAGGGAGCATATATAAAGTAAATAGTATTGGTCCAAGTACAGAACCTTGTGGAACTCCATGACTAACTGTAGTATTTATTGAAGATTCATCGTTAACATGTACAAACTGCGAACAATCTGATAAATATGACTTAAACCAGCTTAGTGCGGTTCCTTAAATGCCAATTTGATGCTCAAGTCTCTGTAAAAGAATATCATGGTCAATGGTTTCAAATGCAGCACTAAGATCTAATAATACAAGTACAGAGACAAGTCCATTGTCAGAAGCAATCAGAAGGTCATTATTAACTTTAACCAGAGCTGTCTCTGTGCTATGATGAACTCTAAATCCTGACTGAAAATCCTCAAATAAACTATTGTTATGTAGAAATTCACACAACTCTTTGGCGACTACTTTCTCCAGAATCTTAGAGAGGAAGGGGAGGTTAGAGATCGGTCTATAGTTGGCTAAAACCCCTGGGTCAAGAGTGGGCTTTTTAAGAAGGGGTTTAATTACAGCTACTTTAAAGGACTGTGGTACATATCCTGATAATAAAGAAATAATTCAGTGGACTCACATTGACTATTAATTAGATATTGAATTTAAAATGTTGATAGCTGGACATACTAATCACACCTCTCAGTAAATAAGTACAAGTACAGTAATATTAATTTATTCATTTAAATCTGCATCCTCTACACTTAAATTTACATTTATTTGTATAATAAGCAAACTTTATATGTCAGTTCTTGTTTATTTGAAACATCACTTTTATTCATTTAAAACTATTGCTTGAGTATCTGTTGCAGGACATTCAATAAATATATTTTAATTTGTGTATTTATTTTGAGAAACTTGTGAAACAATGAGGTCTCAATAAGATCAGACAATGCTGATCATAAAATGACACTGTCGATTATATGTAGAAATAAAAGCAAAATAAAGAAAGCGATCCAAACAGCCTCAGACTGATGATTAAAGGCAAAATATGATGAAACAGCTTCTACAAAAATGAATAAATATTCCTGAATAAAAGTCTGTTACTTTTATCTTTCTGTTTTCTTTCTGTTGAATGTTGGAACCAGTGAATAAAAACAAGGAATCAAACTGTGAACTCTGTTTCTGTCTGGATTTTGCTCCATTTGTCTAGAAAGTTCTAACATAGACCAGAAAAACGTCATCAATGGATACTGATCAGACAATACAGGAAGTCGGAAATGAGTTGGCCTTCAAAATAAGACAAAAATGTGTTGGGAGCTTCTTACTTACAGTGTTATTATTGAGATATATATCATTATAGTGTCCGGCCATATTGTACATGTTCTCTCTCTTTTTATATTTGTATATACTGGCTCCTTTTATTGTCTCTAGTTTAATCTTTATTTATATTTGTCTATGTTTAATTATTATGGAACATCTTAACAAGGCAAATTACTTGTCTGTGAAAACCCAGTTGGCAATAAACCTGATTCTGATTCGTCCGTTTGAATTTGGAAATAAAGACTAAATAAACAGCCTCAGACTCATAATTAAAAGGCCCAAATATGATGAAACAGCTTTTACAAAAGTGAATAAATATCCCTGAATAAAAGTCTGTTTCTTTTATCTTTCTGTTGAATGTTGGAACCAGTGAATAAAAACAATTAAATCAAACTATGAACTCAAAGTGTTGAAGTTTCTGGATTTTGCTCCATTTGTCTAGAAAGTTCTCACACTCCTTTTATTACGTAATCACACCGGAAACTAAAGCTGCACTCTGATTGGTCAGCGTTGCTAAGATACAATCAATGTTCAGGAACTAGAATGAACTTGCATTCAAAATAGTTACATAGTTAAATTAATTCAATGATTTCTTTCTTTCAATCTTTACTTTCAGAAATCTGCTTCAGTTTTAGCTCGATAAAATATTATTTAATTATTACCTGATCAGAAAGGTTTGTACATATTAATTACATTAGGAAATAAATTATTAAACTACTTTAACTGTCCTATTTTTGTTTTTAGTTTAGCAATTAAAATGAATGAAAGCGCCACTGTAGGTCGATAAGGGACAGTGAATCAACATAAAACCAGACAGAATCTGCCATTTAACTCTTTCATATATTCATTATTACTATAAAGTTTTGAATTTCCGAAAGCCTCAAATATATATAGCTATATATTTATATAAAATATAAATACACTAACTGTTACTCACATTATTTGAACTAAATATTGTTTTTGTTACAAAAACTGCAGGTTACCTCCAACATAAATCAAATTACTGCCATAAAAAACACTGCAGATGAAACCTTTCATATAGAACAGCAGACATTTTAGTTTAAATATATCCAGTGATGCATGAAGTCAATTTAGTGAAGACGTGATTAATATTTAATTTACCTGCAGGGTCTCCTACTGTAGAAGGATTGGACACATATTCCTGAGCTGCTCTTCAGTCAGCCATCTTGTTTTTTTAAGTAATTTGTGTTGCACTAACAATAGCTGCTGTAATGGGTTGGAAAACGCCATATGTTAGTTTTTGTTTAAACAGACATCCCCTCTACTTTTTGTAATAATTGATTCATTCTAACACTTCAGTCTTCAGGCCGGCTAGATTCTATGTTAGTGGCTGAGCTGGACAAGCACTCTATATTGTGTCTCATTTAAGTTACATGTCGCGGGGCATCCCCATGACAATGACCTTATAATGCAGTACATTATACATTATATGACTTTATATTATTATTGTTAGTTTGTCTAAAGAGCTGTGATAAAGGAAATAAAGGAGTGGAGCAGTTGATTGAATTTGTGATTCTATTAATTACTGTATAGCTCTGTGGATTATATTACCATTACCATGTTCAATACAGTTCATTTAATATCATTACACACTATTGTCACATATTCTGAAACACTCATGTCTGAATGAAGCTTCAGAGGGTTGTCAGTTTAACAAACACACTGGTGAAGTCTGCGCACGTGACAAAAAGTACTGATAGTTGATGCAGACAGAGCTTGGACTCCATTATCCGTTAACGTAGCAGGTGGCTGTGGCTCAGAGGCAGAGCACTGCACGTCGAAGTATCCTTGAGCAAGATACTGAACCCTAACTTGCTGTGCATCGGTGTGTGACGATGAAGAGGAGAAAGGCACGATACAAGTTTGGTCCATTAACCTTCAGCAAACACCTCTGTCTGTAACCGGTCAGTTTAGGACCCAATTGCAGCACACTTAGGCAGGTAGTCAGTTGAGCTTGTGTGTACAGGTGAGCAGATTGGCTGATGAGGAGGCGTGGCTGACTGGCAGAGTAGAAAGGAACTGAGATGGCAGTTGGGAGGTGAACAGGTGATGAGGAAGACAGACTGTGACACCCTCACCTACTTCAGACTTACTTTCTCTTTTCCCAGACTTATTTCAATAAATCTTTGAAAATAAAATCACCAGCGTTGTGCTTCTTGATGACGGAGTCAAGTTTAATTAAATTTTTTTAAACAAACTGCAGTTAATGTAATTCTGTTCTTCCCTCCTTTTTGAATTGTTTTGCCTGTTCATCTTGATCCTTTTCTTTCTTAGTTTCCTCCCTCTGGCCTTGCATTGTAATATACGGTGTAATGATCTGATATTCCGTCGTTTCTGACAATGAGATCATAGATTTCAACGTTTTTGGTGATGACCAGATCCAGAGTGTGACCTCCCTCGTGTGTGGGCTCCCGTACGTGCTGCTCGAGGTTGTAGATCTGCAAAATACGATCAAACTCAACAGTGAAAGACCTCTTTTTCTGATCGACCCAGATATTGAAATCTCCGGTTACAACGATGCTGTTGTAGTTGTTGAAATGTGCCAAGAGATTTTGAAACTCATCCAGGAAGGTTTTAAATTTGGGCTTGTCGTAACGCGGTCGGAAATAAACATTGATGAATAGAACTGGTTGTTTCCACTCATCATGTTTCAGAACTGTGACAACACATTCAAAGGTTGTTAAGGACTCAAAAGGAATCCTTTTACCGTGCAGCTCCTGTGAGAACTGAATCGCTACCCCTCCACGTTTCCAATTAACCCTCACCTGATAAAAGTAAAGGTAATTTGGTGGCGAAGCCTCACTGAGGACTTTGTCTGCATTATTGTCTTGTAACTGCGTCTCTGTTGTGAGGAAGACGTCCAGGTTGTTTTGTGTTATGAGCTTTAAGATCCTGGGTTGTTTTTTATTCATTGAACGAACATTAAGTAACCCAACTTTAATTGTTCCAGAAGATCTTTGGATGTTCTCAATTTTTTTCTTTTTTAAGATGTTGATATTGTATTGGTCCTCACTCGGTTTATAGTCCGGATATCTGTCTTTATAGTCACTATCGGTCTCCGTATCTCCCTGATCACCCCCTCCCTGCTGATCACTTCCTGTTCCACCTTCTTGTTCATCCTCGTGTCTTTGATCTGTTTGAGATTCAGCAGAAGTCTGCTGGTTTCCACTCTGGTCCTGAGCTGGATTTGAACTCATTTCCTCGTGTTCTCGTTGAGTTGTATCCTCTTCAATTATCTTCCTGTGAATAATACAAGTGAAAATACAGCATCAATACCCAAAGATCAAGGGTGGCCAAAAACCAAATTTTACACTGAAATTAGATTTCTATGACACCTGACGTCTGATTCTTACCCCAACCGACAGTCAGAGTGGGTGTGGATCAGGTCATGCGCACTGATTGTTAGTGTAAGGTTAGCCAGAGCTAGACTAGCAGTCGTAAGATAGCACTAAACTTAAGATCTTTAATTTAAAAAAAGAATTAGATGTAATCAATACACTTGAGATACAAAAAAAGCTTCTATTTACGAAGCAACAATATTATGAGGCGGGGGGAAATCACTGAAACTCCTATCATTTAAGCTACGAAAACAGTAAGCAGACAGAACAATACATAAAATAAGAAACCCTACAACAAATGTCATAGAAACTGACTAAGAAAAAATCTAAAAATCCTTTGAAAACTATTACAAACATTATATTCTCAAACTCAAACGAACAACGATCAACAAATAGATACCTTCCTATCATTAATCCATTTACCAAAGGTCACAGAGGAACAAAATGATAAATTAACTGCCAAAATAACAACAGAAGAACTACAATCAGCAATAGGAAAACTAAAGGGAGGAAAAACCCCGGGAACAGACGGCTTCACACCAGAATGGTACAAAATAATGAAAGACCAATTAGTTCCGACACTACTGAAAACATTTAACTGGGTGCTTAGAAATAAAACAATCATGTAGAGAAGCAATAATCTCTTTTATTCCACAGGAGGGAAAGGACAGACTGGACTGTGGGAATTAGGGTTAGGGTTACATATAAACAATATATTTGGCACCAAGGTCCCTTTCAAGTGTGAAACGGTATATCTGGCTGATATGAATTTTGACAATTGGAAAACTAACAAAAAATTACTTTGTATACTGACAGCAAGGAAAAAAACAATAATAAAAAAATGGTTAAAGGGAGAACAACCCACCATTGAGGAATGGATTAATATTTTTGTACGAGATATACATATACATTTTCTATTAAAGTACAAACAGAAAAGTTTTATCAGATCTGGACTAAATTTATGTTCCTTCTTTTTATAGTGTAAGCCTATTCACAAAAGTGTCATTCATCAATTCAATTCAATTCATCCGCAGCTATCACCTTTTTTATGTATATAATGTGTGTGTCATTAAGATGTTCAGTCAGTAAGCTCCCCAGTTCTACTCTGTTCTGTTGATTGCTAACACCCACTTAAAAATGGAAAACGGGAAAAGCAATAGACGTAATGTTGTTGTAAATTGTTTGCAACTGTACTTGTAATGTTTTGCTTTTTCAAATAAAGAGAAATTAAAAAATAATAATAATCTTTTATATTTAAATGAAAGTGCTGTGCTCTGTTTCTAATGTATCTTTTATGAGAATCCCAGAAAACTTCATACCTGATGTGGTCAAACCTTATCCTCAGCGTCCGGGAGGTCTCTAGAATTGCTTCAGTCACATGATTCCTCTCGATCAGGTCTGTCCAATAGTCGTTCGCCTCAGGAAGTTCACACGCCAGTCCAACAGCTCCTCCCACAACCTGATGATTAATATGATCAATACATGATTCATTTTCATGATTATTAGCCTCAAAGGAAAACAATTATCAAAATCACAAAAAAATATTAATAATTGTATATAATGTTCTGTGTAATTATCAGACAACGTGTGTGTAGTTACTGAATCTTACCTTGTCTCCTCTTTTAAGGAGTCCAGTTTTAGACGGGGGGACACGGTTGAGCATGTGGATGATGATTTGCTCCTCCACTTTCCTTCGCCTGGCCATGGCTCTCAGAACCTCAGCTATAGCGTGCTGGTCCACTTTATCCGGGTCTGTGGAGGAACTCTCCGTCTTCAGTTGCTCAAACAGTTTGTGGATTTCTTTTTCTATTTTTTGGCACTCCTCTTTTATGTCCTGCGTCTCTTTTTGGCACTTCTCTTTTATGTCCTGCGTCTCTTTCATGGTGTCACTGGAAAAACAATCTAACAAACTCGTCAGCTTCTCTACACGGCGCTCCATCTGCTCGTACCAGGAGAATATCTGGTCCAGCAGCTGGTCAGCAGTGGCCATGATGGAGGTCTCTGATCCTTGATTCTCCAACCAGAGACCAGAAAACTGAGATGAAGTCTGAAAGAAGTCAGTCAGAGGACACTTGGAATTATTTGGTGCAACTAAAATCATCTCCCTGACACCTGAGTAAACTATCTGCTGATGAAGACCATTAAACACAACAAAAATCATGTCGCTTTTTACAATTTTCTCTTAGATTTCATTGCAAAAAAAATGTAAATGAAAACTGCTGTGAGGAAATTTTAAGCTGCAACAATCCCAAGACATACTTAGATTATCGCCCTGCTGGCACAGCTTCAACCACTGTACAACTGATTATACTCACATTTACATGATGTCCAAACAATAAAAATCTACTCAGATGTCTTTATGCTGATATCAGTGCAGACCACATGTACCGAGGTGTGAGACCAAACATACAAATTATAGGAAAACATGATGATGATCATATTGTGAGTATTATTCAGTGCCCTGTAAAATCCAGGTCAGATCTGGACTAAGAGCTACAGAAAAGAGCTGTGTCATTATACTGAAGATATCATCAATATGTTTTTGTGATCAGTTTATTGAGATTTAAACACATTGATAAAGAGATGGAGTTTTTTAAAGGAAAGAGAAAGTAAATGAATGTCGTCTCAAGAGTCTGTTAACAGAAAAAAAATCCACGAGCAGACAGGAAACGATACATACGAGTCTTCCTTTCTCAATATATGTTAAACAGAACAAAGATCGTCACAACCAAAAGAGCAGAGTCACAATCCGTACACTTCTCAGGTGGGTTAAATACACAGAAGGTGTTTTACTTTAAGATTTTTTTAATAAGAATCAGGTTTAATAAAGTTTGCCAATAAAGTAAAGTATTTTTGTGGTTTGTTCCTCTGTCCGCGGGCAGCACAATTTCTTTTTACCTGCGTGTACAGGGGTAGAGCTCTTTTGCATGTTATTTGAATGGGTGTGGTCTGGCAGGAGACTGCGGTCCACCAAGTCCCAAATCTCACGCCACAAAAACAGTTTCACTCCATCTGCAGCTGGTCTCATTAAAAAGGCCCTGACACTGACTCCTAAACCCACCCTGTATATATTCATTACACATTGTAAATATATTCCCAGTACAATTTGGATCTTTCTATCTTTATCCTTATCTTTATTTATTTATATTTTAAAAATAACTTTATTTTGTGCAATTTTTATGCACCAAGACAAATTCCTTGTATGTGTAAAAACTTACTTGGCAATAAACCCGATTCTGATTCTGATTTATTATTTAGTAACATCTCTGGCCCCCACTCCAGGTGATATTGGGGCCTGATGGCTCTCCTCATAGCCACGCATCATTTTAAAATAAGATGATGTTCTAATTTCTAAAGTCAAGGTTCAGTTACAGTTCTGTAACGTGAGATAGAAAGGAGTTCAATTCAATTCAATGTTATTTGTATAGCGCCAATTCATAACAAAAGTTAATTTTTCAAATAGAGGTCAAGACCGAACTCCTTAAAACATTATTTACAGAGACCCAACAGTACCACCATGAGCAAGCACTTGGCGACGGTGGCAAGGAAAAACTGCCTGTCAAAAGGCAGAAACCTAGGACAGATCCTTCGGCTCTGGGTGGGTGGGAGAGAGAGAGAGAGAGAGAGAGAGAAGAGAGAGAGAGAGAGAGACAAAGGTGCACAGCAACAACAGTAGCAACAACTACACTAATAGTAGTGACTGATGATGATGAACATGAAGAAGATGATGACGACAACAACAGCAACGGGGGGGGGGACAATGAGGAGTGACAATAGTAATAATCATAATAACAAATATATCCGTATCAGATATTAGCAATGGCAGTCCAGCAGGACCATGGCAGGAGGCTCCACCAGGATCCATGAGAATCTGCGAGACAAGAAAGCACAAGAACTCCGGGGAAGAAGTGAAGTTAGTAACATGCATTAATGGGACATGAATGAGTGCAGAAAGAGAGAGGAAGAGAGGACCTCAGTGCATCATGGGAAATCCCCCTGATAGTCTAGGCCTATAGCAGCATAACTAAGGGATGGTTCAGGACTCACCTGATCCAGCCCTAACTATAAGCTTTATCAAAGAGGAATGTCTTAAGCCTACTCTTGAATGTGGTGAGGGTGTCTGCCTCCAGAACCACAACTGGAAGCTGGTTCCACAGGAGAGGAGCTTGGTAACTGAAGGCTCTGGCTCCTGTTCTACTTTTAGAGACTATAGGAACCACAAGTAGCCCAGCATTCAGAGAACGTAGTGTTCTAGAGGGGTAATAGGGTACTATGAGCTCTTTAAGATATGAAGGGGCCTGACCATGAAGAGCTTTATAGGTGAGGAGGAGGATTTTAAATTCTATTCTACATTTTACAGGGAGCCAATGCAGAGTAGCTAGTACAGGAGAGATGTGATCTCTTTTTCTAGTTCCTGTCAGTACTCGTGCTGCAGCGTTCTGAATTAATTGGAGCATTTTAATGGACTTATTGGGGCAACCTGATAATAAAGAATTGCAGTAATCCAGCCTTGAAGTAACAAATGCATGGATTCGTTTTTCTGCATCTGTCTGTGATAGGATGTGTCTGATTTTTGTAATATTACGTAAATGAAAGAAGACAGTCCTAGAGGTCTGCTTTATGTGGGAGTTAAATGACAAATCCTGATCAAAGATAACTCCAAGATTCCTGACAGTGGTGCTAGAGGCCAAGTTAATGCCATCTAGAGTAACTATATCTTTAGGCAGTGAGTCTCTAAGGTTTTTGGGGCCAAGAACAAGAATTTTTTTTTTCAGAATTTAACAGAAAATTGCAGCTCATCCCGGATTTTGTGTCCTGTAATTTAGATAATTGATTAATTTCATCAGGCTTAATCGATAGATATAACTGTGTATCATCTGCATAGCAATGAAAGTTAATGGAGTGATTCTTAATAATGTTGCCTAAAGGGAGCATATATAAAGTAAATAGTATTGGTCCAAGTACAGAACCTTGTGGAACTCCATGACTTACTGTAGTATTTATTGAAGATTCATCGTTAACATGTACAAACTGAGAACGATCTGATAAATATGACTTAAACCAGCTTAGTGCGGTTCCTTTAATGCCAATTTGATGCTCAAGTCTCTGTAAAAGAATATCATGGTCAATGGTGTCAAATGCAGCACTAAGATCTAATAATACAAGTACAGAGACAAGTCCATTGTCTGAAGCAATCAAAAGGTCATTATTAACTTTAACCAGAGCTGTCTCTGTGCTGTGATGAACTCTAAATCCTGACTGAAAATAGAAAAGAAAAGAAAGTTACACAACTGTTTGGCGACTACTTTCTCCAGAATCTTAGGGCCTGTCCTCACGAATAAGTTTTTTCTTGAATCCGGATAAATACGTTATGGTTTAGGCCTCGCGTCCAGATGCATACGGTATTTTCGTTGTGTGAAAACGGTATTTTTTTAAACTAGGTCCCAGAGTGGGGAAATCAGAAAAGGACTTGTCTGGACGGCGAAAAAGATTTCCCCCCGAAACATTACGTATTAGCCCCGCCTCTCTAGCCTTTAACCTCAGCCGCCACCGCTAGACCCGTCAACAACAATAATGGCGGACTACAGGCTTGTGCTCGTATTAGAGCAACTACTCAGCCTATTACGGCTGCTACAGCAAAACCTCCGGTTTCTATATTACTGCAAGGAGCAACAGCTTGTTTGTAAACAGCGCGGGACCTTTTTACGCATGCTCCATGGCTTCTCTTCTGGTTTTAGTGTATTGGTGTGGTGGCGTCACAGCGCCACATACAGGCCTTGCATATATACTACAGCATTATGAGTCGTTTCAGTGAATCTGTGCGGACGCAGATATTTCTGGCAACGACGCTGTGTTTATGGAGAGACGACATCGTATTGGGTAAAGCCACGTATTTGTGAAGACAGGCCCTCAGAGAGAGGAAGGGAAGGTTAGAAATCTGTCTATAGTTGGCTAAAACCCCTGGGTCAAGAGTGGGCTTTTTAAAAAGGGGTTTAATTACAGCTACTTTAAAGGACTGTGGTACACATCCTGATAATAAAGAAAGATTAATCATATCTAATAAAGAAGTGCCGATTAAGGGTACAACTTCTTTAAGCAGCCTAGTTGGGATCGGGTCTAATAGACAGGTTGATGGCTTCGAAATTATTGAAGTTAGTTGATGAAGGTCGATAGCAGAAAAACAGTCTCAATATATTTCTGAGTTTACATTAATTAAAGTTCCTGAACTTGGAGAGACAGTGATACCTGTTGAGGGCATTTGGTTATTCATTTTGTCTCTAATAGTAATAATTTTATTATAAAAGAAGCTAATAAACTCATTGCTAGTTAACGTTATGGGGATATGTGGCTCAATAGAGCTGTGACTCTCTGTCAGCCTGGCTACCAGGTGATACACCAGGTCCTTCCTCAAACAAATCAGGAAGGACAATGGAAAATAATTGAGATGGCAGTTGGGAAGTGAACAGGTGATGAGGAAGTCAAACTGTGACACCCTCACCAGCGTTGTGCTTCTTGATGACGGAGACAAGTTGAATTTAACCTTTTTAAACAAACTGCAGTCAATGACAGACATATTCTATGTCTTTCTAAACCAGATTTTCTATTCTTCCTACTTTTTGAATTGTTTTGCCTATTCATCTTGGGAAGGACTTCCTGACCACGAGACCAGAGGACAGGAGAAAAATGATCCCATTAATCACCACCTACTTGACATATAGTGTAGCAGCAAAAAAACACGTTTCACGGGTTAGCCCTAACCCTAACCCAATGTAAGAATACAAGACCTAATCTTGAAAATGTCCTAGAAATGTGGGAACAATAGGCTGTGGGAACATAGGGCTGACCCTGACTGTTCTAGTGGAAGCACAGAGAAGTGTGTAAAGGCTAGGACACACCAATCCGATTATCAGCCGTCGGACGTCGTCGGACAGTCAGGTGAGGTTGGTGACTCGAGTTGAGAATGTAGAATCGGCCAGTGGCTGTCGGCCTGAATGACCAATCTGATTGGTGGAGTGTTAGCCCTTGACTAGCGAATCAGTGAGTGCACAGGAAAACCGGAAGTATCTTGTTATTATTAGCCATCATATTTTCCGTTCAGCGAGTAATGACAATAACGATCCTTCTTGACTACTATCAACACTCTCTGATGAAAACAATGACTGACGACAGCGTGCTCTGTGTTTACTAGGTCTAGAGTAATCCGTCATTTCCAGTTTTAATTTTTTTTGGGCGACAACACAGATTAGCGCCGCCTGCTGTTATGGGGACGTATTACACCTCGCGCACGCGCAGAACGTACACCCCAGTCGGCGTCGGTTTGGTGTGTTCAGAGGCACCTTTTTGACCGACTCGAGAGACAGGAGCCGACTGATCAGTCCAACTGCTTTTCTGCCGACGGTCGGCCGTCGGGTTGGTGTGTCCTGGTCTTAGATCAGCAGCTCTACCTCCTGGTCCCAACTCTGGACTGTCAGGTTTTAGAAATAAACTTGGTCAAATTGGTCTAGATAAGAGAGCTGCTCCGTCCAAAGTGGGATGGATGCCATCTCTCCTCGACGATTTCTCCTAAAGATATCTCTGTGGTGCGGTGCCATGCCTCTTGTTCGCTGAGCCTCTTCTCTAGTGCAGTAAGTAATCTACACTTAATCCAGGTTCCATTATCACTAAAGGAGGCAGAGGAATACCTAAACATCTGACACACTGAATAGGACAGAGCAGCAGAGAAGGAGGGAGAAGCCATCACTAACTGCTAATGCTAATGAAGCAGAGAAAACTTTTTTTAGCAAAAACTTGCTAAAAGAGGGAAGTGGCTCTGAGGGCTTAGGTAGAACTAATCTACATTTAAATATTAAGCTGATAAAAAAAAAGCTGTAACGAGTAAAACACTGTACACAGGAGCAGGAAGTAAACCAGAAATGACACAGTACACTTACCGTTGCACGTCAAAAACGTCCTAAATATCAGCAAACATCTCCCTCTGTAACAGGTCAGGTTAGGACCCAAATGCAGCTCACTTAGGCAAGTAGTCAATTGATAATGACCTTTATTTTCAGCTCGTGGAACAAACAGAGCAGGCAGAGTCTTTACAACAGCCCGGGAGAGAGGCAGACGGAAACCAGGTATGGAGAAACCAACCTCGTGATCGGGGACAGAAGGCTGAGGTGATATCCGGGGAAGAGACAAGATGGGATGGTCAGAAATAGGCGGGGTCAAAACCGGGAAATCCATCCGAACAATGGTCTTGCATGACAACCTGGCAACAAGAGACTGGTGAAGAGCAGTATATGAACCGGTTTGATTGGTGGTCAGGAGCAGTTTATGTGCACAGGTGAGCAGAGTGGCTGATGAGGAGGTGTGGCTGGCTGGCGGAGTGGAGCAGGGACAGGTTAGTGGAAAAGAATTGAGATGGCAGTTGGGAAGTGAACAGGTGATGAGGAAGTCAAACTGTGACACCCTCACCAGCGTTGTGCTTCTTCATGACGGAGACAAGTTGAATTTAACCTTTTTAAACAAACTGCAGTCAATGACAGACATATTCTATGTCTTTCTAAACCAGATTTTCTATTCTTCCTACTTTTTGAATTGTTTTGCCTGTTCATCTTGATCCTTTTCTTTCTTAGGGCGTTTTCACACCTGCCTTGTTTAGTTCGGTTGAATCGAACCCTGGAGCGTTTACCCCCTTGGTGCAGTTTGTTTGGGAAGGTGTGAACACATCAGTTGCACTCAGGTGCGGACCAAAACA